CTGGCTCATAGAAATACCGAATGGAAGACATCCGTGAGCGGAAGAGTGGCAATCGTTCAAGTGAACCAACCACAAGATATTCCACTCAATTTAGTGGGAGAATATGAGTTCCTTCGTGGAGAAAATGGAGTGTGCCCCATGCGAAGTGCCGCCAACGGACTTCCTCATTCTAATAGGCGATTTCAATGCGTACGTCAGAGCAGATACCGAAAAATGAAAAGGCGCGATTGGAAAAAACGGCCCTAGCGACTTCAACAATAACGACATGAAGTTGCTGCAGTTTTGTGCAAACAACAAACTCTCCATTATAAACACCTTCTTCGAATGCATCAGTATGCCTGGTACCGGGACGCTTGTGCACAAAGGTCAAAAATCCATTTGATAATAGTATGGACGTCCGCGTTAAAAGGAGCGCAGAGCTATCAGTCGATCACCACCTGACTGTTGGCACGCTACGCCATGAGAAATGGAGTCCCATACGAAGATCTTGTGGCAGAAGCAGCCAGAGAATCAAATGCGAAACATAATCTTCGGTGGACACGACAGCAAAATTTGCAGACAACATCGCACGACGGTTTGAACAGATCCCAGCGATGACCACTGGCGTGGAAACCGAGTGGCAGCTCTTTAAGAGCGGCATCATCGATGCTACCACGGAATGCTGCTCATCGAAACGGGTTCGCCTGCCTCATGGAGCTCAGAAAAAAACCTCATGATGGACAAGAGAGGTATAACAGCAGTTAAACAAAGAAGGCCGCATCCAAGAAACAGACTGGAAACAAAAAGCGTTCTACTCGTGTGGGATATGTCGAGGTACGAAAAACTGCAGCGAAAGCAGTGGCGAAAGCCAAAGCTGATTCCTGGGAGAAGTTCGGTGAGGTGTTGGGGTCGAATTTCTACACGGCAAACAAGGTATTCTGCCAGACCATTCGCTAGTTCTGAGGTGAAAAGAAGGATAGTCTAAGAGTCTTGAATGACAGGTATGGACACTTTCTCACCGAGGATAAAGACAACTGAGAGAGTACTGAAGAAACTCCTTAACCACAAGCAACTGCATGAAGACTCGCCTGCAGAGCAGTAGGAAAACGGATATTGTTATCTCTGGAGACGAAATTACACAAGCTGTGGAAAGCCGGAAAAGTAGAAAGGCTGTTGAACTCAATGAAATCTGCCCTAAAATGCTCAAAGCGTATGACGAACAAGACATGAGTTGACCTACACGTGCTTGTCAAACTACAATGGCTACGGGGTAGACACCAGCTAACTGAAAAACGGGGGTTGTTGTACCCTGTTCAAAAAGAAATACAACAGGAAGTGCTCCAATAACTTGGGTATCACCGCATTGAGCGTCACATGTGAAGTCTACGCAAAGGTGCCAGAAAAGAGGTGTCGCGGAATAGCTGACTTCAAGACACAAGAAGAGCAGTGCTGCTTCCGGCCGTGTCGACGCACCTCTGGTCAGATATTCGCCCTACTAGATTGCTGAGGAATGAGGAATCATTGGAATTCGACCATAGCCAATTGCTGCGGGCCATCCAATCGTCATATGCTGATAGCAGGTGCAGCGTCAGAGCAAATGGCGAAACCTTCCAGCGTTCGCACTTGTCTGCGCCAAGGCTGCGTTCTGACCCACCTCCTGTTTGAGTAGCAATGAACAGAATGGTCAGGCTCAGCCAAGGCGGAGTGTTTTGGTGCAGGAGATCTCGAGGGTAGAAGGTTCGTGTATCTCAGGTATCTTCTGCAGTAGATGTGCAGTGCTCTCTGTAAAGGTTCGTAGCCGAATGCGACGTGGCTGGCATGTGTGTGAACGTAGGTAAAATGAAAAACCTAGCTGTTTCTCGTTTTCCTGCCCGTTGCTCTCGGGATAAAAGAAAAGGTGGTGTCGGAGGTGGAGAAGTAGCTCGTTGTGCCGATTGCCTGAAATGGAAAACGGGATGGAGGTATCGTCCGGCGGAATGGAATAGTCACCGTTCTCCGTTACTTAAACCGAATCTTTGTGACTGAAGCAGGGCTGAGTTTTCACTACATTTACTATCCTTCGGGCAAACAATCTGAGGATGACGTTTGCTTGCTGCGCATAATTAGTGGTTTAACCATAAAGTCCGCAGTTTTGCTCAAGGCAATCATCAATGTTTGAGTCTAAAACCACTGAAGTGCCAATTTACTATAATATATTCATTAGAAAATTCGTAATGATACAGCACGTAAAATTTATTATATACTAACAGTCAAATTTTTATGATGATGCTCGTCTCGTATTTAACAACGACATTTATGAAATAGAATGTCACAGTATGCTTCGGTACAGTCAGATATAAATTTCATTATGAAAGTCATAGCTTTAATAGTGCAAGGTGCTTTACAACTGCGTTGCAGTGCGAACTAAGTTACATACCAACATCATGGTTCCTGCATTGATTTCACTAAATTACCTATGCATCGTTTCGGCTCCGGGTTAGAAAATTTCTGTCTCGATGTATTCGTTTCATTTAGTTCCATAATAAACAGTGTAGATTTTGTATGTTGCATTTTTCACAGTGGCCGAATTGCTTTCCCTTTTCTCACTACGTGCAGATATTCGTCATCTGACTTTACTTTGGTTTTTGATGGAGCTTGTGCTTGATGAACACAATATCTGTTTAGACGTACATATTGTGTCATATGGACACAATTTCGTCACTTTTTCTGAATGCAAATCGCTTTTGGTCTTGCATAAGATATCCTTTATTTTATTCTGACATTTCGGCACAAAAGCCATCACCAGGGAAACCTTTACCCACAAGCCGTTTGCACTAATGAAAAAGTGAGAAGGTTTACGACCACGATATGTATTGAAAAATGATATTTCAAAAATGCACACATATCGAAATGAATTGACTGACGATCACAGAATACTGTATTAAGCTTGCTGTTGTTCACAAAGAGGTGGGCCAATGCACAGCGAACGAGAGCGATGATGCGTACATCAAGCAATAGAAACTGCGGTCCCTGATTGCCGAAATGTTGCGTTTGTAGTCAGTTCACGAAGATCATGAGGTCGTTCGTCCTATGGTGAATGAAGAGAGGAAACATGCGTCGGTACTGCAACAGGGACCAAAAGCGAGTTATAAAAGGTTCATAGTACGAGAGGCAGTCAGACCGAGGTTACCGCCGTGGTGGAGCAGGTTCATAAGTTCACAATGACTTTCGTTCGTGAGGCAAACAACAGACGTCGCGCGTGTAAATATTTGAGGAACGAGGAGTGGCAGGGCACGAAGAGACTAAGGCAGTGACAGCAACTAGCAGGTGAAGCAGCTGACAGCATCGCAATTGTCGTCACTGAGTCAGTGGCTATCGTTCGGAGTTAAATAATATCTCACAACGCAAAACTGTTGGCTTTTAGCGACCACAAACGCACTCTATGAACGATGGGCCGCTTCGTGGGTTGCGCGACAGCTTCCGCCTAATGGACGGACGAGGAAAGGAAACCCTACGGCTGAGGTCGATAATTTTCCGCACGTTGTCGTGGTTTTAAAGAAAATATTGCGCCTGTCATTCGGCTGCAAGTCAATTATC